GCGGGGCTGGGCTGAGGCGGGCGGCGGCGGCGACGGTGGGCCGGCCGCGGAGGGGGAGGAGCGGGAGCTGAGCTAGGCGGGCGGGCGGAGGATGGGGCCGTGCCCGGGCTCCCGCTGCAGCCGCCCGGGGACACGCCGTGCACCCTCCGGCTCGGGGCTCTCGCGGCGGCGGCGGCGGCAGCGTTAGCGGCGGCGGCGAGAGCGGCGTTCCCGGCGCTTCCTGGCCGCGCTTCTCCCTCGGGCTGGGCGAAGCGAAGAGGCAGCGGCGGCGGCAGGAGGCGGCGGCAGCGGCGGCACATCGGTGTCTCTCCCGCTGGAGATTTCTTTCTGCTTTCCTCGTCGACTGACTCACCCCCCTCCCTTTTTTGAGGAAGGGTGACCTCTTCTCTGGGACTGGAAAAAATTCTTTTTTGAGGGGAGGGTGTGTGGGGGGGTGGGTGGCAGCGTCAGGGTCTGCTTCTTCTCTTCTTTGATCTCCTCTCCTCCCCCCTCCAGGACCGAAAAGCGAGCCCCACAACTGCTCCAGCATCCTCCTTCCCTTCCTCCACCTCCCTTCTCCTTCCACCTCTTCCAGTTTCGCCCTCTCCCCTCCCAATTATTTCATTATTATGCTTCCCTCTCTGGGGGGTCTCGTCCCTCTCAGGTCGCTCGGAAGCCGTGGCCTCCCTTGGAAGCATATCTTAAAAATTTTGGAGCCTGGGAGTGAGTTTTCTCTGAGGCGTGTGTGAGAGGCGGCGGGGGTGTTTTCCTGCGCGAGGGGCGGGTGAAGTTCATTGCCCCCACTTTCCCGCGACCTTTTCGGACCCGGTTTCGAATCGGGGGCCGGCGTTTTCGGGGGGCTGGGGGCGCGGCGGAGAATGGCCGCGGGGAGGGTTCCCCGGAGCCTCCCAGTCTCTTGATCAAAGCATTCCGCTATTCTGATTTATTGCCTGCTTGGTGAGTTATTTTTTTTTTGCCTCTAAAGGAGACCTGTGTGTTCAGCCATTACTTTGCTCGGCGCTGCTCACAGGAATCTCCGACCCGCGGTGCTGTGGGGAGCCCCGCACTTGGGCTCCTCGCCTCTCGCCCTCGCTCCCGTCCCTCCTCCCTCTCTCCGCCCCTTCCCCCTTCTCTTTCTCCTCTCTTTCTTCCCCTCTCTCCCTTCTTTCGGCCGCCGTCTCCCCCGCGCCCTCCTCGGGGCGGAGGGAAGCCGAGGAGGGGGAGGGAGGGGTTGGTGTCAATTTTTTTGTGTGGCCGCGGCCGGAGCCTGTGGCGGGCGGGCGGCGAGCGGGGAGACCCCGGCGCGGCAGAGCCATGGATGGCCCGACGCGGGGCCATGGACTCCGCAAAAAGCGGCGGTCGCGGTCGCAGCGAGACCGGGAGAGGCGCTCCCGGGGCGGGCTGGGGGCCGGCGCGGCCGGCGGCGGCGGGGCCGGCCGGACCCGGGCGCCCTCGCTCGCCTCGTCGTCGGGCTCCGACAAGGAAGACAATGGGAAGCCCCCGTCCTCCGCCCCGTCCCGGCCCAGACCCCCGCGGAGGAAGCGGAGAGAGTCCACCTCGGCCGAAGAGGACATCATTGATGGATTTGCCATGACCAGCTTTGTCACTTTTGAAGCGCTGGAGGTAAGGGGGACCCCCCTCCCCCCCGGTTTCCCTTTATGCACGACCCCACTCGGCTGCGCCCTGCTCCGCTGCCTCCCCCGCCGCGCTCCGGTCTGTCTGGCTGTCTGTCTGTCTAGGCTGAGGTCTTATTGTTGGGGGGGAGCTGGGGGGCGCGGGCAGACAGGCAGCGGGAGGGAATCGCAGAGCCGTGCCTGGTCTCCTCGTTTTCTCGTTCTCGCTCGCCTTTTCCCTGCGCCCCCTCCCTGCACCCCCTCCTCAGCAGATGGGCAGGGAGAAAGGGGTTCAGGCATCACAACAATGCGCCCCCCTCCACGGATAGCTCTGCCCCTACTCCTTCCTCCTCTCCCTCCCCAATCATGGCTTCTTGGCTGGTGGAAGTCTCTTTGCTGGGTTTGGGGCGCCTGTGGACGCTTCTCTGTGTGCTTTCTACAGAACCATATGTCCGTGTGTGTGTGTGTGTGTGTGTCTGTATAGTATATACCTTTCCTGGTCCTGGGTGTCCTCGGGACTGGAGACTGATGGGGTTTTGTGGTTTCTTTGCCCCCCTCCCCTGCCCTTTTTTTTTTTTTTTTTTTTTTTTTTTTTTTGGTGAAGCTGGGGAAGGGGGCGTTTTCTCTTGGTTGGGAGAAAAGGAGGGAGGAGGGGAGAGAAGAGAGGAAAGGATGGAATATCTCTATCTCTGTGTATTCTGTGTGGGGCTGTATTGCAGAAAGGGTTAATTATATATATAATATCATCTATACACATACATATACACACACGTGTGTGTGTGTGTGTGTGTGTGTGTGTGTGTGTGTGTACCTGAGCAGTTTGGTTAAAGGACATAAAAAGGTACACCAGGGAGGACTGGTGGGAGGAAAGAATAAAATCCTAGCTGGTATCTATCTGAAGGGCTTGTCACCCAATTGTCCCTCTCCCTTTCCTTTTTTTTTTTTTTTTTTTTTTTGGTGTGTGTGTGTGTGTGTGTTCTCTTTTTCTTCCTGATTGGCTTTGTGTGTATGTGTATGTATGTCTTTCTTTATTCCTTGGGCACCTGCAGTGTTGATTTCCAAATGCACATTTTCCTGCCAGCTACTGGCTCCTGGGGGTGGGAGGAGGTGGGTAGAGGGAGACTGTCCAGGGGCCTGGGGGAAACTATCTTTACCTGCAGAGATCATATTTGGTGCTAGCATCAGTCATTGGCCTCCACAGATGTAACCCCCCTTTCCTCCCCCCAACCTCCCTGTCCCCACCCCCAACACACCACACACACAGAAGGCTTTGAGATTCTGCAGAGTTGGTCCTGCTTTCTTAAGCACAAAACCCAGATAGGAGTTGGTTTCTAGTATTTCATGCACCTGGTGTGATGGTTTGACGTTCCTGAAGGAAACTTTTCCCTTTCCTTCTGGTTTTTTCGCTGTTATTATGGTATTGTTTGAGATGATCGGGTGTAAGCTTTGTTAATGACAGCTTAAATCTCACATGCAGTAACCGTACAGGTTTAGATTGCTGGTTCTGCGTGTGTGCTCGGGTGTCAGGTTTAAATATTTTCAAAAAGGAAGCTATCCTGTCAGGGTTGTTCTTTTCTGTTTGAACTGCTTTTTGGTTGGGCCGCTGGTGGTGATGGTGGTGGATGGGGGCCAGTGGTTGGGGAGGAAGGGAGATTGGTGGTGATGGTATTGGTGGCCGTAGATTTCGATGTTAGTGATTGAATCAGTTACCCTTTGGTTCTAGAACTGGTGATTTATTGGCTAAAATGGATCTTACACGATTATTTTGAGTGTTGAGGCTCACCACTTATTAGGATAATTCTAACTGTGGCTTTAACTTTGCCAAGGTGGGAGGGTACTGTACAGCGTGACTTCTTTCTCTCTTTCTGTCTTTCTCTTGTGCTTTGAAATAGATATTGAAATGGCAGCATGTATCCTAATAGAAAATGCTGCCTAGAATTTGGTTCACCATTGCTTTCTGTGATTGGGTTAGGACATTATTTGTAAGAGCTGGTTACAAGTGGTTCTGCTTTCTGCGTGGTCCTCCTGGGTTGCTGTGTGGCCCCTTACAGTGAGTAAGCAAGAGGGGCCTGCATTTTCCCATGAACATTTTTGAAGGCCAAGTAGAGGGAGGTATAACTTATGCAGTAGTTTTTAATTTTAATAAGTAGATATTTGATTGGGCTTGCAAAATTTAGTCCATTTGGCTTTTGAGAGAAAATGTACCCATTCTAGTGTCTTTTGGGTTTAAAAAACGTAAGTTTTAGGAAAGGTCGAGTTCAAAGTGTAGCATCAATACCGTTCCTTTCCTTACCGTGATTGTTTTTTCTGCTACTTTTCTAGATCAAAACCCAGGTTACTTTGGTTAGCTGAATGCTGTGCTGCCGTCATATCTAAATATCATTTACATATCTAAATATCATTTACATATCTGTAGGTAGATCTAAAAGGCCTAACTTTTTAAGTATGTATAATAAACTCCAATATACCCAGTGCCCAGGTTCACTAACTACCAACTCATGTCTCATCTGATTTCATCTGTATCCCATCTACACCCCCTTCCCAGATGGGATATGAAAAATAGGTAAATATTCCTATATGTATGTAATGGTAATGACTCAAAACAACAACAACAACAAAAAACAACAAACAACCCAGAAAACCAAAACCCCACCAGAAACTCTATAGTAGTACCATTATCACACCTAAGTAAATTAACATCAGTTCCCTAATGTTCTCAACTATCCTATTAGTATTCATTCACATTTAAGAGGCCTGCTTTTGTAGGAAAGATGTGAATAAACTTTTCATACCCAGAACACACAGTGGGGAATAAAAATCATCATATATGTCTGGTTCTATGGGAAAAGGTAGATCTGTTTGCTGCTTATCACATTTGTGTCCCTGTTGGATGGTCAGATGTATGTGTATAACGATCATTGAAACCTCTGGTGTCCTCCTGTTCTCAGTTTACAAGATTTAAACTGAACTGTCACCAAGAAATGTGAGGATTTATTAGGAAATCGGCAACTAAACTATGAACTTGGACAGAAATATATGTTAATGGAGTGCTTATAAATGTTAGGAATTATTATCGATGCCAAGAGTTACCATAGTACGTAATATGGTTTTGTGCCTTGTGTTTAGAAATGAAATCAATTGTCACCACGTGTCATCAAGGCTGCTGCTAGTAGGATGTGATAAGAAACTAGAAATCTTGGCTTGCACAGCAAGGCTTGTAGCTTATGCTGGTTCAGAGCAGTAGCTGGCACACTGTGCTGTTGCATACTTAGAGTGTTAATGGACTCGTTATTTGACTCTGTGATTTTGTCCTGAGTAGCTCATTTTGACTTTCCTTTTAAAAAAGAGGCTCCTAAGTTCTGAAGAGTGCTGATAAAAACTGTTCCAGTTCAGCTATGGTTTTACTAATGCTGGAGTAAAAGCAAGAAACTTGCCTAATGAGAACTTGCATTTTTATGTTGATTATTTTTCAGTATTGTTTGATTTTTTATTTAAGGTGATGAAAGCTGTAGGGGTAGTTTGAGAGGTCCCAGACTTTATAGGCAGGGAAACCGGCTGAGGTACTTTCATATTCTGCAGGGATACTTGTCTCAAGTAATTGTGCCCTGAAGTTCAAGTATATGATTGTGAAGAGTCTTATGATAGAAGATAAGAGGGTAGGTGAGGAGGCTAAAGTTGAACATGGTGTTTTTTTCATTATGCATTTGAGAAGCAGAATTACCCTTTCGATACCGTATTGTTTATTTGAATATTCTTTGAATGATGGGTTGAGAGTGAACATCCAGATACCATGCCTCATTTTTTTAAAAATGGCTTTCAGCCAACAAAGTATAAATGGAAATTTGGGGTTCTAGTACTGTCTGTACACTGATGTGCCAGATAATATTGCCTTTCTGTTTTCATTAGGGTTTCTTTCTGTGTAGTTTTGATTAGGAAGCCACATGAACACCATGGTTGAAAATTTCCCTTTGCAAATCCATCATTTCCCCCCTCTGTTATGCATGGGTTTTAAGGGCAGCCTCTATATGTACAACTGACCAAAGATGAAGTTGGTGGGATTAGCAGACAGAAAGCCAGTTGGGAGTTTTGCAGGCTTGTGAAAATGAAGGAAGAGTTACTTCTGCTGGTTAGAGGATCAAACCAAGACTCTTATGTGGTCTTCATTTCCGAGTAGTTTCAGGGCTTACCTAAACAGTGGTAGCATAAATAGGCTATACAGAATTTGAAGTGCTTACGACATGCCATGTTAGTAGGCGCTTCAGGGCTTACCTAAACAGTGGTAGCATAAATAGGCTATACAGAATTTGAAGTGCTTACGACATGCCATGTTAGTAGGCGCTTATAATTTAGTGTGGTCGAATCTCACTTATTTCAGTTGCTTGAAAAACATTAATCATGTTCCTCGTATCAGTCAGCAAATATTTATGGAGTGCCTAGAAAGAGTGCAGGTAAGCCTAAAATATATATAGTACCTTGAAGGAGTATGCAGTTTAGTTGATAAACTAAGCCCAGCACCTTTAAAATAATTTTGAAACAGGTGCTTGAATGTCTAATACCAACTAAGTTCAGTAAGCATTCAGAGTAGGAGTAAGGAGATAGGCTGAAGTGTTTGAGAAAGCTTCTTGAAGAAGGGGCCTAGAAGTTTGAAGTGATTTGGATAGATAGGGAAATGGGGGATGGAGAGAGACTTCCAAGAAGAAGGAATAGTGAAGAAGAACAGAAACAAGAGGATTGAGAAGGTGCTATTTGATGAGGGCTTGGAGGTAAGGAAGAACTGGTAGAAATGAGTTACAAAATTGTGTAAGTAGGTGGACACCTGTGCAGACATCTGTTCCAGGCTTGGCCCTCCTAACTAGTTGAGTGAGTTTGGGAAGTTACTCTCTAAAAGCATAATTTTCTTCATCCCTTAGTTGAGAAGTTTAGACTAATTTTAGAGCAAACGTACCCAAGTTGGAAGGGAACCTAGCTCTGCTGGATGTTCATAAGTGGTGTTCCAGATCAAAAAAATGTAATCTACCCTCAAGTAGTTTTGGAACCTGATGGGCAAGACAAAATTAAACGGGTGGCTTGTTCTGCCAGAATTAAAAGCCTTTTCATTATACGAATGCGAATTTTGAATATCAGAGAAGACAGTGAGATGTGCTTTATTTCCTTGACCACAGGGCACTCTTTCTTACTCTTGGCATTGTAACCCCTAATCCAATATGGGGAATGCTGCAAAGCATCTCCAGGGTCTTTTCCAGATCTTGGATCTCGGTGATCTCTCAGTCTAGGGTGAGTGGGCTGGTGATAGATGACTTGGAAAGTCAGGCTCAGAAGTTGGAGTGGAGGCTGCTGCTTAAGTGTGAATGGCAAAGGGAAGGGGAGATGTAAATAATGATGGTTAGTTCACTTCTCCTGCTCCCTTGTCCTGCCTGGTGTCAGTGCTTTCATTGATTGTTAGCAACCCCACCATGAGGTGAATGTTGGTGAGTGATTCTCATTAATAGCCCTTTCAATGTGATGGCGACCCTGATGCCAGCAGTTCTGATGCCACCAAGCTGCCCTCCAGCCAGTGTGTTTTATTGTCTCTTGGTCCTTTCGGTTTCTTTTTAAGCAAGCTGGGAAGGAAGGTTGGATGACAAAGGAGGTTGACAGTGATGTTAAAATAAAGGTTTTAAATTATCTGCCTTTGGCTCGTTTATGTATGAACTGGTAGTTCAAGAGAGGTCAGAACCCTTCTGCTGTTACACAGCCAGGGAAAGCTGTAGAGCTCTGTTTTTGGTGGATTTTTCAGTTTCTATCTTAGGAAGTTTGGGATGGGACTACAGAGTAAATGGGTCAGTTCTAGCATTTCACTTCTGAAAGTATGCCTGGGATCTAGGATCTGAGGAGTTTCTAAGTGGTGAGAAAGTTTTCCTAAAAGGAAGAGTGGCAATAGTGTGCTTGGTTATGAATTCAAGTATTTTACTGTGTGTACTGAATTTGAATATTTTACGGTACAAAGCAGAGCATCAGTGAGATGAGGTTGAAGATTGTGATATGGTTCCTTGTGGCTTGTGTTACTTGTTGAGATTGACTACTTCACTTCTTTTTTGGAGGTAGATAGGATATAAATGAATCCATAAATTTAAAAAATGAATCACAAAGTTAGTGATTGCCTTTGATCCTCTGACAGTGTTCTCTTGAAAAGGGGTTAAAAAAACCTGAGCATTCTGCATGATTCAGCGTTGAGGGTGATAAAGAGATTCTGAGACTCTTCTATGCAAGTCCTATATATACTGTGAAAAATAAATGGCGATTATTTAGTTTGAGAGAAGGTTAGGATTAGATATGTCCCCAAACAGAAAATAATAGTTGAGGTCAGCTGTTAAGGAATAATTTAGGTCCCAGTGGCTATAAGATTGGGAAGCTTTTGGACAGAAGTCTATAGCATTTCTTGATAGGAGGGTATGTGCATGTGTGTGTGTGTGTGTGTGTGTGTGTGTGTGTGTGTGTGTGTGTGTCTCCACATGCAGAGGGTGGAGGATGGTGGGTTGGTGGCTTTACATTTTATTTTTATTTTACCCCTATGCTGTGATTAGTCAAATACTTTAAATGTAGACTAACTTTGTAAAAGTGCCTCGTGTTATTTTTTCTCCTCAAGAAACCACACTTTTTTTTTCATGGTTAATATTAAACCTAATATTCTGTAGATATAGGAAAAAAGAACTTAGTGCTGGGATAGCAATTGGTCATTTGAGGAAGTTCTGAAAAAAAAAATCAAGTAGATTTTGAAGTTGAGATTTGAAAACTCTCAGACAGTTGAAGTTTGGAAGAGCAAGATGGGGATTAATTTGGTGAAACCCAAGACAGGAAGGGATCAAAAACAATGTAGGGACATTGTTAGCTAGGTCAGAACCATTTTTCTTACATAATTTGTATGTGTTCCATGAGTAGATGAATGCAGGTTTTTTTTTGTTTTTGTTTTTGTTTTTGTTTTCACCTGGAAGAGGGGCATAGAATTTTATGCTTTTGAGACCCTAAATTTGTCTTTGTTCTTCCAGGTCTGAGCTGTGTTCTTTCATTTTTTTCTAACCAGCCTACAGGGTAAGGGGGTATGGTGTCATTAAGTTACAATTGTAAGGTTACAAAGAACAGGTCCTCTTTATGCTGTTAGTAACTGAGGAGGGGGAGAGTGGGTTTCACATAGTCTGGGTTTGTTTGCTTGCTTAGGAGGAGACTAGGCAAGTATAGGCTTCTTTCTGTGGCTCAGTCATCTTCAGGTCTCTGGTTCCATTCTTTGCAAGGTGACCTGTAGCCTGCAAGCATGTGTCTTGCTGCTTTCTTTGCAGGCGTTTATTGCACAAATTGGTGCATATAGCAGTCTCCTCATGGGATCCAGTTAAATTCAACTATCCATTGCTTGTCCCCTTCCTTCCCTCCTCCCCAATTTCCTTCCCTTCTTTCTTTTTCCTTTATGAGGTAGAACTATCAAAATTATAAATGCAGTTACTAAAAGCTAATAGATTTAGGAACTTGTGGATGAAAGGTGAACACTTTAATATTCCACACTTTTATCATTTGAGTTTCACCTGTCTGAAGGACTCGGATGTGAGGGAAAATTGCTTGCCACAGTTTTCTGGGCTATTTCAGCTCCTCGTTCTGATTTCCCATTCATATCTGAGCTCTGGTTAGAGTTTGCCTGAACAAACACCACGAATTACCAACTAGTACAAACAAATAACATTTTAAAAGACTTGACTGTCATTTTGGCTTGCTACTGTACCTCATGGTGCCATATCTCCTTATACCTTTATTGGAGTCTTGGAAAGCCCAAGCACAGTAAAATGGAGTCACAGAGGAGAAAGGAAGAGCCCACAGTTTGTAAGTAACAGAAAATGGCTAATACAGGCTGGGATTCATTTTTGCCAGAAAGCCTTAAAATTGCAGGTACTTTGTGATTGGTATTAACTGAGGCATTTTAAAATGACCCGGGCTGGATACAGAAGCATGACCCGTGAAGACAAATTGTGACTCTTGGTTATGTGGGTGAAATCTGATACTTTACAATGGCAGGGAAGTCTGGGATAGGGTTTAAGTCAATGCCAGGGTCAAGTTGTGATGATACCAGAGCGATGTCGTTTTCCTTGTCCCCACACCTACCTGCTACTGTAGCACAACACCAACCTCCCAACCTTATTTCAGGTTTCTCTGTAAAGTTTCTGATGGCAGTGATATTTTAGAGCTTGAAAAGAGAAATTAAGAGAGTCCAGTATCTCAGTTATCCCTCAATAGTTATACTGAAGTAGACATTTTTTGGTTGTTTGCTAGGGTCCCTGTTCAGTTTTGCTTGCTGGCTAAAGGTTGTTGGCTAAAAGTTGTTCAGTGGCTATTTTTCTGGAGTAAAAAACTAAGTAGAACAAGAAATAAGGAAGAATGAAAATGTAAATCATTGGTGAGGATTAGATTATCACTTGTTTTCCGGCCACAAGCTAGAAATTCCAGTGTTCTACCTATTTTCTTTGTACCTGTTCAGTTGACGAAAATACAAGGGTCCTGGATTGTGTTGTTCTAATAAATGATTTTTTGTTGTTGTTCAAGTGAAATTATACTTTCACCGGGGCAAAAGGGAAAGCAGGTGTTTGGTATTGTGCATTGCTGTGAATTGCAAAGTTTGTTCCTTGCTCATTGGTTATGGTGATCAGTTTGATTACTTGTCAGAGTTACATTTTGAGATTAATGTGCAGAGCTACATCTTTAGGAGGTGTTATCCTAAAGTTAGGACTCCAGTTTTTTTTTTAGAGCAGTCTTTTAATCCATTTCACTCCAGCCATTGTTGGCTGCTGTGCTTTCCAAGCTGTCAGTGGCATTAGAGGCACAGATGTTGTCTTTAGTGATGTAGTTCTACCTCTCATTTTGCAAATGAAAACACAGCCCAAAGGGGTTAATTGACCTGCTCAAGATCACACTGGGAGTTATGGCTCTTACTGTTACCCAGTGAAACTAGGAGGCTGCTTCTGCTTAGTAGTTGGATTCCCAAGGATTGGGAATTTAAAAGGAGGTTTTTAAAAAACAAAAATAATAATGCAAACGAGGATGAATGCTTGTAAAGCTTCCTATTTTTTCCAAGAAATTTTCTGAACTCAGTATCAAGAACCTTTTAAAAGCATTCTGCTTCCCCCCAGTGTATCACCCTGGAATTCATTGGCCTTTCTCTGTGGGTACGTTAGTCTTTTCTAAATTCCCTCCTCCTCTACTCCCCATAATGAGGACATAAATGAGAAAGTAAATATTAGAGTGATGATACAAGAGTTTCTCATTCTTGAATGTCCACTGGAAAGATGCAATAATTATTTGGGATATAAGATGACCTTAATGTGGCCTACTTAAAATTTTAACATGTTTTATTTGGATATAATATTTTCTTCAGCCCAGTAATCCAGAGAAATTCAGAGCCACTTAATAGCATTGGTGGCAGAATATTTGAAGTGGATTTAGGAGTATAGTTGAGTTGAAGACTCAACCAAACTTTTCTTCTGAAGAAAAAAGACTCAAAATATTAAATCCATATGACGTGTTGGCTAAGGCATCTTGCCTGTTTATTGCTGAACCAGAAAATTTATAACAACTGTTTGTCATGTGTATATATTTATAGCCATTCATATAATGAAAAGAAGTTTTCATGAGATTGTAATAACATATCAAGATGGATGTAATTAAAACAGAAGCAGATTGACACCCTGAATTAAATGCAAACCATAAACCAGGATACCTGAGCATTGTGCCTTACATATTTGCTAAAGGGGGCAGTCAGCCAAATATGCAAATAAAAAGACATTGATGAATTTCCCTGGATGTGTGTGTGGTTGCAGAGAACCCAACTATTTTATTAATCTTTTATCAAGCATTGTTTAGGTTTGCAGCAGCAATGGAATGTATTAATTTGGCAGACCAAATAGCTTAGGACCAGAAAGTAGGAAATAATAAGGAGAAGACATGATTGATATACTGCTATAAATAACACCTGTGACTGACAGAGGGGCTGAGTAATCTTTAGATCTGTGCTTGATGTCATTAATGGAGTTGTTAAACCAGGATGTTTGAGTCGAACTTCAATCACTGAGGCTACCTCCCGTTTAAAATGCAGACCTGTCTCTAGTTACACTCTGAACTGATATGTTGACAAAATTGGTGTAAATCGAATTTTTGTAAACTGGATCAAATGCACCAAGGGAATCTTACTGTGAAAAATAGGAGTCTTTTTTTTTTTTTTTTTTTTTTTAAATCAAGTATAGTGCTTCTCTGCAGGGAAGGTGGGATTTGAGTAGAGTGGGTCTCTTTAGATGGGCATTGCTTTCCTTGAGACACTTTCCTGCATGTGTTCCCTGTGTTCCTTTAAGAAAGTGACTCTGAGGTTTGTGTTTTCTGTTCAGGTTTCATACCTCACTTGGTTGGTGCTTCCAGAAATAATTGGTGGTGATTTGAATAAACCCAAACCATTCAGATTTCAGAGGGTAGTTTTCAAGTGCATGCTAAGGAGGGCTTGTGGCTATGAATATGGAATATGATTTTCATGTCTGTTCCATGGGGGAGTCCAGGCATGTCATAACCACTTCAGAGTCATGATTGTATAGAAACACCCTAGCTATAATTTTTCGATATGGCAGTTCAGTTTTAAAATTGTAAAGATGCCAAATGCAGGGCTGTATTGTTATTAGGGAAGTCGGTGACATCTGTTATATCTTGTTAACCAGGGGAGGAAAATGCTTTAATCAAAACATCTAATTATGCCCTCTCAACTGATGAAAGATCTTTTGCTAAATTTTTGGAATTGGCCTTAATGGAAGAAGCTGTCCTCTCCAGGAACTGTGAAGTAAATTTACTCTTTTTTTGAAAAATTCTTATCCTTAACCATGGTGATATAGGATGTT